CAGCGCGCCGTGCACTAGTCTACTAGACGTTCCAACCTAACCTAACCGAAGGCCGCCGCCGTGGTTATAAATATTAACAATGTAATATTATCTAACCTCGGATAGAAATAATGAAAACTTGGCAAAGTACCATCGGGGAGTACTTCGGTGATATATTATTTTTTCTTTTTGAGTTTTATTTAACGTTTATTTTGTTCAAAATATTACATTTATCGGAAAAACACATAAGATACTACAACGTTGTCGTTATAACCGCGTTTACCATAACACAACGATTCTAAAAGCGTCGATAGGTTTTTATATTTTTTCGGTTTTATCTATGACCTAGTTTACACAGTGTTAAATAAGCTAGTCCTATGATAACTATCTGCTCGTCTATAATAAATTCAACGTATACACGCCATTACGGCGGTACGGCCATCGCAAGTTTATGGTGACTGCATTTGACAAGGAATTGAAAGCCTTTTTAAGTATATTATAGACATAGTACAGTATAGGCATCGCACAACAACAATATTATGATTGTAAAATGTTGAAAGCAATTAGGTTGTTTCGACTTTCGGTGCATACGCGGTCAGGTCCCGAAACAATGCGGTTATATAGTACTTCTATTTGTTAATTTACACTTTTAGCTGCCTTTACCCAAAAACTTGAATTGCTCACAGATACAATAATTATTATTAGGTTCGGTAGTCAGACGTGGCATGTATATAGTTATCAAAAACTTTTACAATAACCTCATTTATTTATATATATGTTTGTATACAAAGTTTGCGCTCCTTTCGAAGTATGTAATTTTCACACTAACTTTAGGGTTTAGTCTCAATTGGAATTATCGCTTTGTTCGAATATACTTACTATACTATAAAAATATTAATTTTTACTTACATATACATTTCAGCGCTATAAAATATTATTATAGTCGACTGTTGTAAAATAAGATTATTAACATTTGAATAGAAAATATTTGAATTTCTTTTAGAAGTAGGTACTAGTATTTTTACATTGTCTGAAAGCTATGTTTAAAGTCGACTTGCAGAGACCATTTTTTTTTTCATATTTGAAGGGCTGCGGGGAAAAAAGATCAATGTCAATTTTTGTTCATTCTGAGAAAATCATGTTTTTAATTTTAAAATATAATACATTTTGCCTGTATGACCAAATTTTCGGCGGTCGTTACTCTCGACTAATCTGTTTTTTCCCTGGTTCGAGCGCATAAAATATACAATACGTCAATACAAATAATTTGATACCAAAATCTCATTTTCAAAAAAAATTATCATTGATCTTTTTCCCCCGCAGCCTTTCATTTATTATTAGTCATCTCGCTCTTCTAGTTTATTTTTATGTTATACCACTTTCAAAAAAACTTAAATCTCTTATGTTGTTGTACACGTTTGAAAGACCGGGAAAGGCCAAATCAGAACACAATTTATTGGAGTGGTTTCTTCGATGTGATCAAATGCGTAACTATCCCTTATTATATAAAGGATGAACCCGGTTTTGGGATTGCACCTAACAATGTACTGGATTTTGTTATAAAAGAAATTCGTTGATGTTTTTTTTCAAACGAATTTTCAATTCCCAAATTCGATATCCTTTTTTTTTTTTTTTTATAAGTAAATGTTAGTTTTCAATATGTATAAAAAGTTAACCTAACCTTACTTAACTCGTAGTTAATTTATAAATCTTACAAAGACCGAGAAAATATTTAATCCATTTACTTTGGAAATTGATTTATGTTTATTTATGTAAGATGTATGAGATTCGTCTGAGATACATAAACGTTTTAAAGGAAATAAACAAATGGGTTAATAGAATTATAAATATCTATTTTAAATAGTCTGATTAATCGCACTTTATTGTGATTATAACAATAATAATATTTTTTTTGTATGTTACTGTTTATACTTAATGTATTCCGTATAATAATAAAATCTGAATAATTCCAAACGTATAGAAAAAAATTTAGGTAAATTTATCTTCAGTTTTTGGGGATGTATCATTCTGATGCTAATGTGGGATTCGTGCCTATGCATTTAGGTATAAGTTTTAACTGATATTTTTATACTTTTTTCCTTTTTAGTTTATTGCTTACAGTTTTATGCGAATTTATTGGTTTTGTTGTGTCATAAAGACTTAATATGATTTATTATAAACCGGTATACAATAAATATGTAAAGGCTGACTCGCAAAGAATCTATAATGTGTTATATACATACTTTTAGGGAAAATATACATTTATTATTTTTTTATAATAACATGTCTTACAATAACAACAGTTGTTAGAGCTACTATACACTACAGCTACCATATGACTTGCAATATTCAAAATATAAAATAATTTTACACCATTATAGTCGTCTGGTCCATGCCCAGAATTATTATTCACGAATAGTTTATCATGTGACCCGAAAATATAGAATAAGCATTTTTATATACTTGAGTTCGTATTCAATTTGAAACTCATGTTTACGCACTACTGCCTTGCCATGCTCATAGGCCTGTATCACTTATATGGCTGGTGTGAACACAAAAAATAAAGAAAAACTCTTGGAAAACGATCCGGGCAATTAGCGTAGTATGTCAGGCGTTCTTACATTACAGCATCCCAGTGTACTACATGTCTTAATATTATCTACTACTGCTAATATTACATTTATTAAGTGGTTTAAATTCTTACCGTTGGTCCTCATATGTCAATACAGTATTTTTGGAGAAATATTATGAGTACCTATAGAATGTGTTTGATAACTTGAAAAAAATGATATGTATAATTTTTGGATTTGCAATATTTAAGAAATATCATTGATACGTTTTTATTGCTGATATGTGATTTCCTGCAAAAAAAATTATATCTGAAAGTACTGTTATAACTATTATTAAACGTGGTTAGTTCTCAATGAGAAATTATTATAATTGTTATCTCTAAAGGGATATTTTATGTATTGTTACGAAATAATTTAATATCGAGAATACCGCAAATTATGTACAATATGTATAGGTAAATTTAAAAAATGTTCAAACATTTTATATAGCTTGGTAAAAATGTAACGATCTGCAATTTGTTGTCTCTGGCCGGTTTTACCCTGCTAAGGTATCAATATCTATATTTATTGTTATTATTATATTACATCTATAACCGCCCTTCTTCCCTTGCCCTAAAAAAAACTACATGTTGCTTAGACTATTGTGTAAAACGCGTTGGCGGAGTGGCAGTACGAAAAAAATATTACTATCTTTTTAAATTTTTATAATACAAATATAGTTCTGATACAGATTAGCTTTAATAGCTTATCGTGTCTACGCCCTCATATTAAAACTCTATCTCCATACAAAGCGATGTCGTACATTTATCATGTTCGTATAATGTGTACCAGAGGAGGATACAATGTGTCTATTTACAAAAAGTATTATATTTTCAACAAAGGATTTCGCGAACGACATTATATCCACGACGTCGTCATCTGCTATTTTTACTCTGTCGGTTGAGTTAGTTCAAGTAGGTATACCAAGAAAATTATATCGATTGTCAAATATATACCTATCGTTTTGTCGTGACGCGTTTACATAGAACGTAGCGTAATTATTATTATTTGAATGGAAAGTTGTTGTATATGCATAAAAGTCATAGCCGAGTATATACATATATATATTGACAACCAGCATAATTGAAAATGCTTAAGTACTGTTCATGCCGTGATGGACGGAAACATTGGCCGTTTGAAAAGAAGTAATATCATTTCCCGAGAATAAATATTGTACTGTCTCTATATTGTACTATCTGCGAAGAATATTATATAAGAGAAAATTCTTATGCTTTAAAAATGAAAACGAAATCTGTACTCAAATATATGTTTTCTTTGAAATGCCTCTCTCACATCCTCTCAAAAATCCTCTACCGTTGCAAATTAAATATGCCGTTTTTATAAAGTAGTTTGAATGACAGTTTTTTGACAACACAAATATTGCCGTTGTTGTTTTCTGAATGAATGACGGTATATATTTATATTAATGTATATATGTAAATTTAAATCTTTATTTTTATAAAAGCTGTTGTCACTGTTAATGGAGTGAAATAAGTGGATATATCTCAAATAATTCATTTCTCTGTGAGTTTAAATTACTATGTATGCGAATTCACTATAGCCCACACAGCAATAATAATACATTTCAAACATAATATTTCATAAAAGTTGTTACGAAATTAAAACTATTTTTAAATCGTGTTTAAATTATATTTTGACAGGTATCAAATATTACAAGTCTTATAAAATATATAACAAATTGTATTTTCAAAACATTAAGAAAATGTAATAAGTCTAAGTTACTGCTTTGTGAGAGGTAGTCAATATCGACAATAGTGGCGCTGGCTTTTCTAAAATCGTAATATTTTTGCATCAGTTAAAATTCATTATGTTGTATATAAAGGTAAACAATGAGTTCAACGCAAGAATAATTAAGAAGTGTCAAACGCACGAATTTCAATACTCTAGCGGCGCGTTCGTTTAATTGAATTCACTTGCGTTTCAAAATATTGAACATAAAACACACACATTAGTTAATCAAATTAAATCTAAAGGTAAACTGGTTTTTTCGAACTTAAAAATTAAAAAAATCTCTATTTTGTAGTTATTGTTTTAGTATTCTTGAATAGGTGACATTTAAAAATATTCTACTTCCTCAATAATCAGTATACGTTTTTACTAATATGTTGCTTGGGGCTGTTTTGTCATGGACAATTTATAAACAATGTAATAAATCAATTATTGGTTATAACGTTTGGTGTACCTTAGAGATGATGATCATGTTTTAACAAAAATCTTTTGCTGTCTTGAATGTCCAGGATTGTTTTACAAAACAAATAAAACGACAATAACAATGTCAATAGTGTGTCATAAACAAAAAACTCAATGCTTACATGAAATGGATTTTTCGATGGAAATTTCCTATACATTTCAATAAAATAACTTATTTAATTTAGTAATTTTGTTTTACAGAGTCGACCCCAGACCAGCGTGCACGATGGTTGCTCCACTCTGAACGGAGGACTAGGACGACATACATCCTCCACGTCTTCTGCACTGTCCGACACATCACCTGATACGGACAACGTAAGTAGTGTACCGCCTGTTTATTTAGTTTTGACATTTCTAAACATAACCAAATCGTATGTGTATTTTTTTATTTTAATATAACCTTCTCTGTAAAACATTGGAATACTTGATATAGATAGGTATAACTACTAGCGTTATTGATTTTTTGAGGTGTCTCAAACAGAAGCAGTGTATCCGTTGGCCATTAAAATAAATATCAACATTTCCGCTTTTGACTAAATCATTCATGAATTAAAATATATATTTTTTTTGCTTAACGCGACTAATATTATTTGGTTTTTCAAACTACCTTCCGATAATTCGGAAGTGAATAATTTTGCTGATTATGTAAATACTTTTAAATTATATTATTAAAAAGCTGACGATACTAAAAAAATAAAACATATTTTCCCCCTATAACATTTAAAAAATATTAAATTTTATATATTAAAACACACGATAGTCTTTGAATTTACGGTAATGATCGTATACTAAAAAATAATGTCAACATAAAAAAATGTTGTCAGACATACTTTGGTTTTTATAAATAATAATACGTTATATTTTAATTTACCCAATTTTAGTACCCTTCTGACCAAAAATGCTTTATATTTAAATACAAAATTTTATGTATAGTTAAATAATATTTAATTATACATTGTAAATTCTGATTCATTTATTTTATGGTAGTTAATTTTCCGCATTCGTCTCGACATACGAAATACTTCACATTTTTTAATTAACAGGTGTACCAATGAAGTATTTGCAGTTGTTTTTCCATTATTGTTGTTTCATTGAAAATTAAAAATATTTCTAGTTTGCCATATTATTAAGATTTATTTCATTAAAATAAATTGTTAAGCTAATAGAATGTTGCACAATTAAATTTACATAATATCTTTATGTATCTATGTTATTTATATTAGAATTGTTTATCGTTAATAAAAAAAGTTTTCTTTAGATAAAAAAGAATATAACACACATTTTCTTTTTAAAAATCTTCTATTTTTAATGAGTTTTTAGTTTATGAAGTTTGAAAAGGCATGGTAAAGTCTCGGTAAAAAGTTTTAATGAGCGTTTTACAATTGTCATTTAAATGTATTTCATCTTAAGATAAATATACAAAATTACGAATAAAAAAAGGGTTCTTAGTAACCAAGATTAGTAAAGCTAAATGTGTTTATTTTTTAATTGTATTATTCTTTTTTTATTTGGTTTTCAAACCATTGTTTAGTGAACCAACGTCGTCTGACATGTAGAGAACTAACTAATCCGTGAAACTTATAATAAAGTATTCATTATAAGGACCGTAGAAGTTAATGGATATAAGTGCTGTAAATTACAAATTGTGATATATTGAATTAAAAGTTGACCTTCTTTAATCATTACAGAAAATCAATAATTACAATTAGTTTTATGAAAAAGCGTGTTTTCTTCTTTTTTTTACATGTAAAAGAAATAACTTATTCTTAGACCCTTTCAAAATAAAAATGACAAGTTAGACAAACAGGACTCGTTGTAAATATACAAGTAAGGATTTAGGTGCATTATATTAGACAGCGTTAATAAGAAAAGTTGTTTCTTAAATAAAAAAACTCCCAGTGGTTCTAGACGTTTCCAATGACTCGGAAGCGAAAAGGACATAAGAGAGCTTGTACTTTTTGACGGACTCTAATCATAACTGAAGGAAACAAAATTATTTAAGGAACATATTTTGTTTGCAGATGACAAAACTGATCAAATTTCTCTTCTTTATCTTATACAAATAGAGTCTGTCAGCTATATCATCTCTTTCTCTCTTGACAGTTTTCTCTGTTGGTCACCATTCCTTAGCCTGCTCCACGCACGCCTCTGCAATACATTTTTTCCCTCTTCTTTTTCGTTTTACCTCTGAATATCAATGCCTCTACTCTGATTTCACTAACCAGTTTTCCAAAAACTGTACTTTTCGAGTTAATATGTTCCTTGAACACGCCAAAATCATCTCAATATAATATTGTCTCCGATCGACTCCGTTGTTTTGCACATCTTCCGAACAACCTAGTATGTATTATCGTTGTTAATAGTACTGTTAGATAGTGTACTTTACACATCCATCTCGATATTTTTTAGATAAAGTCGCTACCGTTGTTCTTTCGACTTTTGTATTGCTTGCTAAGCATACTGTTAATTTTTTATATTTTCGTTCGATTCTGTTGCTTTGAACCCTATAGGTATTGATCGAATAAACCAAAGTCGTTTGTATGTAAGTTACCGAAAGCTCCGGTCAAGTATTCGAGTTTGTTTAAACCTTTCGCGGTCGACACGCGTTTGACGGGCGGTAATTAATAATTGTACTATCCGCTGACACGCCCCGGCCGAACAAACAGAGGGAGGGTTACATATTAAGGATTTCGTCGTTGCCTTCGACCGGATTTAGGTTTTTATTATTATTTGTATCGTAACCCGTAGATTTCATAAAGTAATAGCTTTTTTTTTTTATCTAAGCCGGTCGTTCCAAGCCGAATATATTATTATACGTGGAATTGCAACAGCGGCGGAATAGCTAATAGCCGTGAAGCACTTGGCTTGAGTGAGGAAAATACTCAAAAGCCGTTTATACACCGGAATCGAGAGTCGACGGCAGGAGCGTGTAATAAAAACGGTCGTTTTAAAGCATATTATACGGTATATACCTACCTACTTATATCTGTATACATTTATATGGTCACTATGTACTGATCGTAAACGGTAAATGGTAAATGGCCTCTGACCGTCTCAGCGTGGTCAACGTACGGAATATGTCTTGTTTTTCTGCTTTAAAAAGGAGCTTTTACGGCTTGTCGTCGCCGCCACGAAAATATAATTAATTATGTGAACGCGAAAAGATTTTTACGACTTTTGTATACAACCGGATACGCTCGTTTGTCGGAAGTCGTTTTTCGCCTTTTATCGTCTACTCGTTCGGCGTCTGAGTATTAGTTAGTATATTTTGCTAGTTCGATGTCGTTTCACACGTGGATTACCACAAGAAGAGATGCGATGACGATAGGATTGGCGATTGTTGGGAACACTCGTTAGGAAGTGATAAAACAAGTATTGTTTAGAAAATTAGGCATGTACTATTATAAGCAAAACTAAGAAATTGATGCCGGAATACAATTAAAAGAAAGTTCTTTTCTTCATTCGAGTCCGCGATATTTTTTTATTCCAAAAGTATTGAGTTAAAAAAAACCCCTAGAATTAAAAATGAACTATATTGTTTTTTATTTCACCGTGGCACCTGGTCGACGTTGATCGATTAGTTTTTGTAATTTGATTACGCTACAAAACGTCAAGAATTCGATTACAAAATGATTATAGGTGTTTATCTTTAGTCCAAGTCCCAGCTCCTGAAATAACCTTTTTGAAACAAAACGGTCTCTAAAACACGGACTGAAATGGGTCACGCAACATTATTGGTTGTACGATTTATCGAAATAGTATTTAATCATTTTTCCGACTAATATTTTTACTATATATCATTAATTAAATAACCGATATTAACTGAATGAATACCTATTATAATAAGTAGGAACAAAAACTATTTTTTGGTTGTTTTTTACTACTTTGATTGAAACTGGTGCTGTTGAATTAAGTATAATGAATTATAATTCAATAGTTTAATTATTTGAATGAGCTTAACTTAAAATTGCATATCAATTTTTGCCGTTGTATGTGAAAAGTTGAATTTGTTGAAAAAATACAAATTTGATTTTTACATTTAATATTATTAACGTAATTTAAAAATGTTTTTTATAAACAGAAATATATAAGTTAATTGAATTGATTTTACATTAGTCGTTATATTTTGTATTAGCTGCGATAAAACAGAACTGTTCTGGCGTTACTTAAATTTCTTGGCACCCAACACTTAAACGTATCTAAAAAAAAAATATCATAGAACTTTTATAGATACATATATAGCACGGAAAAAGCGATATTATCATTTTATTCTCAAAAGGGGATTTCCGTTTTAGTATTACATGCTTATTGTGTCTTTTACTATTTTCGGTGTTTTTTTTTCACGGTATCGCAGAATCTAATCTTACGAATGTGTTCAAATTGTACTTTTAAAGAAACACAATGTAATATATTTATGAAAGACGGCTGGATGTCACGGATAAGAAATATCGCATAACTTTTATACAAATCTAAAATTGTATAACTTTAATGTTAATGTTCTTTTCGTAAATTATATCAGTTATTCTCCATCATAGGGTTTCGGAGTCGGCCAAAAATGCAGTTTCTCAAGTAAATCTTTATGTGAAATCTATTGATCGTTTAGAACATTAAAAAAGTTTCCTCGGTATATTAACCGAAAGTTCCACTGGCAATGAGAACGCTTCAATTTCCAATTAGTAAAATGTAAAACCATTATTACGTTTATTTTACCTGGGTAACATGGCACACTCTAGTTGTTTCGTCGTTACAGGCGATTACAACGAGTATAATTTATTTGAACGACGCCCACATAATTTTGTAATTAGTACTTCGCCAAAGTCGCTCCGAAAGTTTATTAAATACAATATCAGCTGCTCGGTGTAAATTAATTATTTCATTAATAACATAATATAATTAACAGTAATGCGTCTCCGAGGAATGTAATTATTATCAATGTCTAATATATATATATATATATACATAATATAGGCTGTACGATTTTCAGTAAACGCTATGGACGCAGTATTGTGTACGATATATTATTATATAGGCTGAAGGATACACGAGTGAACTTTGGACGTGGTGGCGAGACCGTAAGATCACACATCTAAGATATAGATTGAATGAAATCGCAAACGTCTAGAAACTTGGGCACTAAAATTTATTAACGCCGCCACCGCACTCGCATGGGGTTTTTGCCCCGCGGTTAAGCGCTCCTCTCTCTCTCTCTCCGTTTGTTTTATTCGAACGTCGGCTACTCAAAAATCCGATACAAAATCCGGAAACACACGTATCTCTATATGATGTTATTGTATTTGAAGTGAAGGGGGAGGATG